CAATATTTATAATGAATTTTAATAATTTTTTCAGATTTTTTTGAAGCTTTATTCTGACCGATTCACCCGATTCCGATCGGGATCTTCGATTCTCCTATCCGAATCGCCGATTCACCGATCCGGATCGGTTTTTTGAAAAACCCGATCCGGGTCACCGATCCGATTTTTAAACCATTGGTCGAAACTAAACCTGATAGGTGTGAACGTGTTAAATTTAGCCAGCTCATATGTTGCGCATGTGGTTGTTATACACCACGGATTAATACACGCGTACAGGGACTGAGAGTAGGGCGACAACATGTAACCCGGCTCCGCCCGCTCAACCCTGCCCCAAAAAAATAATTGTTGGGTTACATAATGTGACTCGAGGGCGGTCTGCCAAGGCTACGTCGGTCCAACACTGCCCGTTTATTCTTTATATTTTTTAATCTTTTGTACACTTGTTTCGGCAGTGATGGATACTGAGGCAAGCCTTGGTTTATTTGGCTATGGACCAACCCCAAGGGTGGCAATGGGTACACCTGACCTCAGATCCGGGTAGAGGTCCAAATTTTGGACCGGAATATTATTCAAGTTTGAGTCCTGACCCGTACTTATAGTCATAAAGTAATATGATGGCAATTATGTGTCTTTAATCGTACGCTAGGTGTTTATATTGACACAATATTTGTAGCATTATTGACAAAAAAAAATATATTCAATAGTCACGGGTTATCTTATAGTTAAAAAAAAAAAAAAAAAAAATGGCAATGGATCCGAACAAACCCAAGATCATATGGGCCCAAATAAAGGTCCATATTTTGGACCCGATCAGGTCCAAGTCCGGGCCCAACCAAACCCAACCGATGGCCAACCCTACCCAATCCAGCCAGGTTCAGGCCTGGGAAGGGCCCGGGCCAAAAGGAAGAGAAGACAGATAAGGAAGACAGAGAGGGCGATGGAATCGGAATTTGCTTACGGGTATAAGCCAAAGATTCGCCATTACGCGGCGGCAAACGCATTAAATCGGCATATTCTCTCTCAATCCTCATATCCCCTGATAATTGGTCCTTTTCCTCTCTCTAGATTGCTACCACACTCTCTCTCTCTACGCTGATTCCCTCTTCCGTCATTCCCTTCTACTCAGAGGCCCAATCTCTCTCCTCCGATCGAACTCCTGGAGTCTTTTAACCATCAATTGCAGTTTGATTCATTGCTCAATCTCATGCCTTTTCCATGGCTTCCTCCATCTCCATGACCACCACCACCACCACCACAGGCCTTCAAACCTTCTTTTCTTCTCCATTACCGAACAAAAATGCGAGAGCTGAAGCCCATTTCATCACTTCTCGCCTTTCCTGTCGTCCCCGCAAATGTGAGTTTGAGAGCAAAAGAAGACTGCCCAATTCTCCTTTTCTTTCTCTAAAACCTACCTCTCTTCGCAATTGCCTGAATTTCAAGACATGGGTTTCGACTGTTTCGGTTGAGCATTCGTCGGATACTCCCACTCCAGAGAGTAAATTAGAGACAGAACTAGCCCGCTTAGTGGCTCTTCGCGCTGTTTTGTCGCAAGCCAATGGCATGAGTGAGAAAATTGCAGTGCTTGATAAAGAACCCAGAGTGAAAAATTTCTTTTACAATAACACCAACATTAATGGTGGGGTTTTTGCTTCATTGAAGCTTGATCAGTCTGAGCTTTATCTCCTCAAATGCCTCGTAGCATCAGGACAAGGGCATGTTCTTCAGATTGACCCATTTTGGCTTGATGAAGGTATTGGGGGCTTCGATTTAGAGAGAGAAAATGGCTCCTCAAAAGGCTATGGGAGCTCTCTAAAGAGTGCTTTCTATGTTCTCTTGGGGATGATTGAGAAATTTGAAGCTAATGGGATTCATAATGGAGAAAATCACTTCGGAAAGGGATTCATTGGGGGAGAGGATGAAGCTATTAATGATGGGTTTCGTGGGGTGTTGAGGAGACTACTTAGGACACTTGCAGATATCGAGAATTTCTATGACTGCATTGGAGGAATAATTGGGTGAGTTTATTGTTTAATTTTGAGCATTTTATTTCAAAATTTTGGTAACACTGAGTCCAAATTTTGTTTTGTTTTCATAAATTCTTTGTATGATAATAGAGTCGTTGGATTTCTCTGCCTTCTGAGTTTGATGTCATAGTCTCCATTGATGCTCTTTGTTACTCTCTCACTCTGTTATGAGTTTGATGTCATAGCCTTTGATGCTCTTTGTTACTCTCTCTCTCTCACGTGTGCAATTACTGATTATCTCTCCAGGGCTACATTTGCATCCTCATTCATTTGATGATATTTTCTGGCATATAGTTCACATTGCTTCCGAAACTATATGTGGGAGACTAATAGCTCACATAGGCATTAACTTCTCCGCATACGACTTGAAATCCATCATACCTTTGGATTTTATTACAAAAGAGAGGGAGGGAGGGAGGGAGGTTTGTCTTGCCTTTGGAGAATGTTTCCATCAGAGGGCTGTACCTGTTTAATTTATAACAGGATTCTAGCCAACTTAATGCATACAGTCCATGCTTCAAAGGCTTAAATCATATGGGAAATTCCCTAGGTGAAGGCATTGTTCAGGATAATCTGCGATGGTTCCCTGAGGGGGATCATAAATGTAAAAAAGCAGGGTAAGTCACAGCTTGGTGTGGTTAATGGGGGACAACTTCAAGGGTTCAAACCGCGGATCTCCCTAACTAAAACAACCAGCAAACCAGTGCCTAGAGGATACAAGGTCATGAATGTCACTGATGTCAATATGCAGTCGTATTAGTTTAATTTGTACACCTGTCCAGAATGTGACCTATTAACATGATTATTGGGGTTTGTAAAATTCGAATTGTTCAAATTCGTTAATGGTTCAACTCATGGCCTATAGTGAACCAACTCACCAAGCCATAAAGGTTCTTGGGGGGTCATCCGTCTCATGACCCAATCGCAACCCACTTGACCATGGATTCTTTTCTGTAAAATATTGTGCTGGGTGATTGATCACGGGAGGTAGGGAGCTCAATAGTTGAATGGAGTTTATGTACTTTAGACCAACATTCCACTAAATATTTTGTTGGCCGAGTCCTCTTGAGTAAACTTTTCGTAATATGGGCTATAATCTTCTCCACAAGAAGTAATAAAAGGATGTAACTGTCAATGTGGGCTATACTCGTCTTGACAAGAAGTAATAAAAGGATGAAACTGTCAATGTGGGCTATACTCTTTTCCACAAGAAGTAATAAAAGGATGAAACTGTCAATGTGGGCTATACTCTTCTCCACAAGAAGTAATAAAAGGATGAAACTGTCAATGTGGGCTATACTCTTCTCCACAAGAAGTAATATGGGCTATACCACATGAAATGTGAATTATTTCTACGTAATCTACTATATATTATTATTAACATGGGTTCCATACACAAGTACTTAAAGTTTGTCAATGTCCTGTTACATACCATCAAATAATTCGGGAAAGTCAGGAGTAACAACTTCAGGCACAACTTTTAAACGGATGCAACTGTCACTGAGCATAAGTACAAACAATAGGATCTGTACTCTCATGACATGCTTTGTTTTCTGGATTTCTCTTTGACAGATTTCTCTTTTATCAAAAATCCTAAATGATTAGTTATCAAAATAAAAGTCTAAATCATGTATCCGCTTCTGGATGGCTAATTTTTGGAAGCATTTGATTCCTTTCAATGGTGCCTAGTTAGATCTTGCACCATTTAAACTTGTTAAGTACATTATGCAGATACCAGCTTGCTGTTTTGGAACTACTATTGACATCAAAATCAGGGAATACACCAAGCATAGAGGAATTGAGATGTGAATACAAGGAATTTCATGTTCCATTTGGATCGGATCTTTCAGAAGATGCCAACTATGCATCTCAAGCAGCCCTGTGGGGACTGGAGGTTAGCTGGATGGAGTCCTTTAACTCGAGTACCTTGGTTAATTCATTTATTTATCTTGGAAAATATTCTATATTCTGTACTCCAATGACCTATGTTTCTCCATGATCCTTTAGGGTTGATAATCATCCAATGAAATGATGGATGGTGATGGAGGGAGAGTGGGACCCACCAGAACTGGACCATGCATCATTAGTAGGTTCCACTCTCTCTCTATCACTGTCTCAAATTCCATCTACGGTGACAATCCCTATAGACTATGGCTGTCCAGTTTCCATTGGGTTATAATGTCCTTTTCCTAAATATATTTTTCTATGTTAAGTTGGCTTGATTAATTTGGGTATATGAGAAGGTCATACCAACTGTACTGAAGTTCTTATGCTTTGCAGGGTTTGCCTGAACTGGGTGAAATCTATCCATTGGGAGGCTCTGGTGATAGGCTTGGTTTAGTTGACCCTGACTCGGGCGAATTTCTCCCTGCTGCAATGCTCCCTTTTTGTGGGCGAACTTTGTTGGATGGTCTTGTTAGAGATCTCCAGGTATATCCGCTTCCCTAAATGATTTTACCAATTTCAGAACATGTGAAATCAGTTCAAGTGCAGATTGGTTTCTTTGAGCTTGGGGTTACTTTCTAGTATGCTGGAGCCTTTTATCTTTCATAAATTCTAGTTATATATCTTCGGAGTTGGGTTTGATTTCTATTGTTTTACATCTTATATTATGTACTGCATTGTTTTTAAATGCGATGAAATAAAAATGCCTTGTAATTTCCCTGGAATCAATTGAAGAACTACAACCAGCATGTTATGTAAATACAAGTTACACTTTGACTACTACATTATTAGTTGGAATGTGCTAATTCTTGTTATGCTTTAGTGCAGGCAGCACATTTTGGCATTGTTTAGATTTGATAGAAGAACTAAAAGGATCATGGAATTTGAATATAATGCATGTAATTTCCTGAAGAGTGCATAAATGCGTGCAATATATGCACAATAGGACATTTATAAACACATTTACATATGTAAAATATGTGCATGTACAATGTATGTGTGTTATTGATTGATCAAATTTATGTAAAGTTTTGAAAATTTGTCTATTGACTTCTCATTGGATACTAGGCAAGAGAGTTCCTCCATTTCAAGCTATTTGGAAATCAATGCATCACCCCTGTAGCAATTATGACAAGTTCAATAAAGAAAAATCATGAACTCATTACCTCATTATGTGAGACAAAGGGATGGTTTGGAAGAGGTCAAAAAAATTTTCGGCTTTTTGAGCAGGTAAAACTTTATGAGGATCTTTACCAATTGCGCAGTTTATGTAATGTGTAGTTGTGAACTATGTAATTTAATATCTTTTTTCCTTTTCTTTTTGGGGATTTCCAGCCTCTTGTGCCAACGGTTGGTGCTGTTGATGGACAATGGTTGATTAGCAAGCCATTGAGTTTGGTACTTAAACCTGGTGGTCATGGTGTAATATGGAAACTTGCATGTGACCTAGGAATCTTTGACTGGCTTTACAGTCACAGGAGAAAAGGTGCAACCGTTCGGCAAGTCAGGTTCTTATTTCCTTGTTGTAGTTTGTAAAAATTCTTATTCTTTGATGATTATTTTGTCAAATTTTCATGGATTAATAGTTTAAGTTGTTTCCTTCTTGAAGGAATGTTTAGAAACTCAACTCAGGGGAAAAAAAAAACGAAAGGAAAAATTCCTAAAAAAATATAAAAATCAGAAATAATTGAAAATTTATAGAATCAAGAAAATTTAGGCTTAGGGTTGGGTTTTCATCAAAGATTGATCTTCTATTTAGGAGAAACATGCCCAAATCTTCGATCAAAAAATCTTAAACTCTAGTGATTTTCCCCTGAATGCAACTTCTGAGAGGTAGATCTAGTGAAAATCTAGCATAGGTTGAAATTTTAGATGAAAACATGGAGTTTTGGGGCTCCAACATTCAATACTGAAGTACTCAAGCGAATACAATAGTGATTCGCCTAAGTATTGTGGAACTTGGGTGAGTCACGGAATTTCCCTCCTGAGTTCTAAAGTATTCAGGCAAGTCTCTACAGTACTTGCTTGAGTACTGTACATCTGCAATCTCCCCTAGTGTTGGCTCGGATACTTGGTGCCAAGGCTGAGTAACTCGGCTGAGTCCGAGTCGACTCAGCTGAGTCCTTGAACACTGCTTGGAACATAAATGTACTCATTCGTATTTCCTAGTCTTATTTTTTGAAATTTCTTTTTTATTGGTCCTCTGGAAAATTCTCATGAAGTAGAATTCAGTGGTGCTATTGTTTCTTTGTGTAATATAATTGTGGTTATTATCTGGTGTTGTTCTATAGTAATGTGGTGGCTGCTACTGATGTGACCCTTCTAGCATTGGCTGGCATTGGTCATCACCATGGAAAGGTATGATTTACATACCCTGGTGCATGTTACGGTACTTGGTTCCTTCCCTTTCAGTCTCTCTCTCTCTCTCTTAATCATGGTGTTAGTTTACATGGTAATGATTTTTTAGTGAAATACTCTTCATTTGTGGTTTTCTTTTATTTGCTAAGTGCTGCAGAAAATGGGGTTTGCATCTTGTAAACGTAACCCTGGTGCTACTGAAGGAATCAATGTTCTCATTGAGAAGAAAAGAATAGATGGCCACTGGATGTATGGTGTGACATGCATTGAATACACGGAGTTTGACAAGTTGTCAAATGTTAAGGCTCCTGGTTCACCTGATGGGTATGTACTGTTTCCTTTTTTCCTACTTTTCTTTTTGATATAGTATCTATTTTGAGTTTTGGATCTCTGATATGATTCCTCATAATATTTTCTTCTAAGTAAGATTCCTTAAGATCTCCCCAAGAGAATAGAAACTTTTTTGATGACTTAATAATTTGAATCCCCTCTAATTTTGCTTGCCCCATCTGTCTCTCTGGTCAAAATATTTACTCGCTCCACTGCTGCATTTTTGCTTCAATGAAGATGTCTTCAAAATCCTATGGCCCCATACAGAATTTCTTAAATTGTTTTGCCCTGTCTAATATTTGGACCAGGAATACTGTTGCAGTTCCATTTTTATTTTTCTTGATGACATATCTTCGAGGTGCAATCCATTCAACAGATCTGTCAATCCAGGCCAGACGTGTTTGAACATCATCATCACCATCATCTGAGCCTTATCCCAATTATTTGGGGTTGGCTACTAGCCGTATTTCAACAGTTTCTTTAAACAACATATTTTTACCATATCTGTTTTGTTGTTATTGTTAAAAAGAGGGCCTGTTTTGGATCCAGTTCCTAGTCTAGCCATTTAAATGGGAAGGTCTAGAATGGTTTTGACAGCACTGGTCTATCGTTCAGTAATACATTATAGGAGCTTTTATCAGAATGGAAGGGATGACAGTCTTTTTTGTAACTGCTTCCCCATTTAAAATAAATTATCATCGATAAATGAACTCATCACCAAATATGTTCCGTTATGAGGAGTTGCTTGCATTATACTTTTGGATCTTGTTGCCTTGTAATATGTTTATTTATGAAGAAGTTTTGTTCCATTTGTAAAATAATTGATCATTTACTAATTTGTTTGAGCATATTTTATTGTATGAGGAATGTGACAAATTTTCCTCTATAAAATTATGGGAAGGGTCACTTAACATTCAGTGACCTAGCAGCACTTTCTTCAGGCATCTGAGACTTTCTTGTCTTGTTTGTTTGTATAAGGCATGAAATTCATGTGAACTGTAATGTCTCCCCTCATTGGAGCCATAGGTATCTTTTCTGCTTATGGTTTGATGTTGTCAGATATCTTTAGTAACTACCATGATGAGCAGTTGCTTGTAGTTGGTTATGGCTGAAACTTCTGCTTATTTTGTTGAAGTTCACAGGCAATGTACCCAGCCAATACAAATGTTCTATATGTTGATTTAGTTGCTGTTGAGGAACTTGGATCAAATAAAGACCACGGATGCTTGCCAGGAATGGTTTTAAATCTTAAAAAGCCTATTGTTTATGAAGATCAATTTGGAGTAAAGCATAGGTAAATCCAAATTTATGCTCAATGCATTAGGATTATTTCCTTTCCATGTTTTTGATATCCACATATATCTCTTATCATCTTCACTGTGAACTGGAAATTACTGTGCGTTTTGAAGATTCTATCGTTCCTTATCTCAAAAGAGCTTCTTGATTTTAACTCTTTCCCTCAAAATTGTTTATGCCAATGTAGAGACCTTGATATGAACTATTGAATTTGGAATATTGAGATAACTAGCAATAAATATATAGTGATAAATGTTGTGCAGAGAGACCTTCCAATAATTATACAGTGCTACAGGAAGTGATGAGGCAAAATCATTGTTTTCCATGAGCTTCTTGGCATCATTTTGGTAACAGAGCTAGGAGCATGTAAAGAAAATGTATTTGGAATCCTTTATGAATCTCTAATAGGTTTTTAATTCGAGTAGGAATGTTTCCTGTTGAAATTGCTGTGTTGCTGGACTGAGGAGGTTTTTCGTTCTTTCAATTAGCAGATTGTTATTTGTATATTGTGATGCGGTGTCTCCATCAGGATGAATTAGTTCTCAGCATTCTCACAATTGATTATCATGTTGTCTTTTAAGTTTGTGGGATGTTTTTTTGGTGTCTGTGCTCCAAAATATCCAAACCTCAACCTTTTGATTTAATATTGAATAGGTGGCAAATTACAAAAAATAGACCAAAAAAAAAAAGTATATTGATCCCAATATCAAAGAGAAGATACAGTAAAACACAAAAAATCAGAATTCAACAATAAATATACACAAAATAATTTACCATGAAATTTGCCAGCTTCAATCTTAAGAGAAAACGTCTACATATGTCATTAAATATCCACAAAAAAAAACGAAAAATGCCAAACAAGAAACCTAACCCCCACCCCCCACCCCCCCCTACCCGCCCAACCCTCCCAAACCTCCCATCATATTCCATCATGACACCCACTTTTTCTAAACCTTGTGGACAATCTGTATAACATCATGGACCTACTTGAAGTAGAATGCTTTAGTGGCTAAAACTCTTTGTTAAATAATGTGACGAAACACAATCCTCTCTCTCTCTCTCTCTCTCTCTCTCT